AGCCAGCCTGGTGGGAACGATGGCTGGCATCAGGATCAGAGTGGGGCCGACGGTTCTGCTGGGCAGCAAAATGTGGCAGAGGGTGGTTTGGTCCACGAGGACGACAATGACAATGGAGTTCAGGAGGCACTTACTTTTGAAAAAACTAAACCCTAAACCCTAAACCCTAAACCCTAAACCCTAAACCCTAAACCCTAAACCCTAAACCCTAAACCCTAAACCCTAAACCTAAGCCTCAAGCCCTAACCAACCCTAAACCCTCAACCCTAAACCCGGTAGGGACCTAGGGGTCTTAGGTGTTTTCGGGTGAGAAGAAGATTGCTGTATTGTTTGTGAGAGGATCCTTTCCAGCTGATCGAGCAGGATCCTTTCCAGCTGATCGAGCAGCCAAATGATGGGGAGGACCCGGCTGGCTATGAGCTCCTTCGATTGAACCTCGAGAAGAGCCTGGCAGAGGAGGGGGAGGAGGAGGCACCTCTTGAACCGGAGGCCGACAAGGAGGACGAGGACGACGACAAGGAGGACGACAAGGAGGAGGAGGAGGTATCGGAGGAGGAAAAGAAAAAGAAGGACAAGAAGAAGAAGAAGAAGCAGCACCGGAGGAGGAGGTCGTCCACAAGCTCTCGGAGCCGGAGCCGGTCAAGAAGGAGGAGGCGATCCTCGGGTTCTGGCTCGGTGCGTCTTCGAGTGAGAGTTGAGAAGAAGAGGCACCGGTAGAGCTGCTTTGTAATATTAAGTGCAGTTTTTGTTGCTCGGTTAGAAGATGTGTTGTTGCCATCCATCTCCTCGAAGTTATATAGATAGCACCCCGAAAACAATCATTGTTGTTTCGAGACGATGTAAGAAGCCTTCAAACCTTACTCCGAGCGACCGCTGTTGCACTCTTGCAGAGAGTAACATATGTGAAGCTGTGCCGTGCCTGACGATCTGGCACAGTGGACTAAGAGCATTGCCGAAAGAGAGAGAAAAGAAACGGTGTCCTTTCTTTCCGTGTAACTTTTACATTCGATTGTAAACACTGACAGCACTTGAACACCGAGAAGAAATAGTTTTACTTTCGGAAGTTTACATTCGATTGCAAGCACTGCACCCAGCCACTTGAACCCCGAGAAGAAATAGTGCATTTACTTTCGGAAGTTTACATTCGGTTGCAAACACTGTACCCAGCCAGTTGAACCCCGAGAAGACCGAAAGCTGTCACCTGTTAGCCCGTACAAAAGACCCGAAACCCCTAAACCTTAAACCCGTCTATCGAACCCTTTGACACAAATCTGCTAACCCCCGTGCCCTGAAACTCCTAAACCCCCCTAAACACCTATAAAACCAAAACCTAAGACCCTTAAACACATTTTGCCCTCAATTAGGGTTTAGGGTTTAGGGCTTAGGGTTTAGGGTTTAGGGTTTAGAGTTTAAGGTTTAGGCAAAGGGTGGTGGTCTCCAGTGGCCCGGTCTGGCGCTGCGCCTGATGGTGTGTGTGTGGTGTTTTGGTTCCTGTGTCTGGTTGTTCTTCACTCTTTTTTCCCGTAAATACTATACATTGTTCTCGAGCACAATATATAATTCTTCCACAACTTTCAGGCTTTAGGAATGCATTTTTTATTAAAACCAGAAAATTTTTTTTAAAAAATTTAAAAAAATATAAAAAAATCAAAAAAAAGTGATGTAGTTTCGATGCAGTTTTGATGCTGTTTTGATGCAGTTCTGAAAACTGCATCAAAACTGCATCGAATTTGATGCAGTTTTACCTAAAACTGCATCAAAACTGCATCACTTTTAAAAACCGCATCAAAACAGCATCAAAACTGCATCGAAACTGCATCACTTTTTTTTTTTTTTGATTTTTTTATATTTTTTAAAATATTTTTTGATTTTTTTATTTTTTCAAAATATTTTTAATAAAAAAAAGCATTTTTTTTTTACATTTTGTTTGTTTTTTTTGCTATTCGTCTTTAAAAATGTTTATATTTGTTCTTGAACTAATTGGTTTTGATTAAAAAAATTGTGTCAAGCCTGAAGTTTGTTGTGACATTTTGCTGTTGAGGGCTTTGTGTCTGATTCTCTTTTTTTACTTGTGAGAGGCTTGCCCAACCGTGTGTGTCAATGCAGTTTTTCCTGGATCCACATCAGTGTATATAGCGAGCTAAGTAACAATTGTCATATCCCAGCTTTCGGGGCGATGCCTCCCAAGCAGATCCAGGCCTGGCCTCATGCTCCATGGCAGCCAAGCCACATGTGTAAAACAATTGTCTAGTCACAGAGGTAAAACCATGTTGACTTTTGGTTGACACAAAGGTAAGCATGTCCTGTCAGGATCCTCCTGAAGATGTTGCTGCTGCAGGCGACGTTGTGGATGCTGACGACGACATCCCGTCCACGAAAAAGCCTGCAACAAATGCTGCAGGCGACCTTGTGGATGCTGACGACGACACCCCGTGCATGAAGAAACCTGCAGCAAAGCCTAGCAAACAGAAGAATGCTCCAGAGGTTGCAGAGCCTCAGCAGAAGGCAGCAAAGTTGACCCCCGAACCGAAGGAGCAAGCAAAGCCGAAGAACGAGAAGAAGGAGCCCGAGAAGACACAGAAAGCTCCCAAAGCAAAGACAAGCCCCAAGGCCAAAGCTAAGGGCAAGGCCCTGGCCAAAGCTAAGGGCAAGGCCCTGGCCAAAGACAAGGCCCAGGCAGTGAAGAAGACGATCGAGAAGTCGAAGGGCAAAAGCAAGGGCCAAAGCAAGGGCAAAGGCAACACGACCCAGAGCAAAAACACAAAGGGCAAGAACAAGGGCAAGAAGCCGGCATCCGGGCCACCCAAGCAACCCTCGGCGGATGATTGGAAAGAAGGGCTGCTGATCGACGACAATCAGGAGGAGCAGCCGGAGGAGGAAAGCCCCCGTGAGAGCGATGATTGTGTGTGCCCCAACGACGGTTCCTTTGAGTTGCCTGCTGAGACGAAAGACCGTTCGAAGAACAACAAGTTCCTCAAGCTCCTGCAGTCAGGGGCCCTTCCGGAGTGGCTTCGCTTGGAATGGGAGCGAATAAGCAAGCTTAAAACGGGTCGCACAGAAGCCCAGAGGCGACTCGTTAACGGTGCAGTCGACAGAGATGCCGTGTCGGGCAAGTTGGCCTTGTGCTTGCAGAAGCCTATGTTCAGGCAACTCGAAGCAGCTTGGTCAAAAACGATTTAAGGTTTAGGGTTGTTTTTATAATCTAAGCCTTTTTAGAACCAACCCTATATATCTATATAGGCCTACATAGACCCCAGACATAAGCCCTAAAGCCAAGTTGTTGCATGGCAAGGAGAACTACACCAAGACCGTTTCCAGAGATCGAGACAAGACATTACCCAAGACCTTGCTGATGGGCAAGTTCAATTTGTCGCCGGAGATGTTCGAGAATGCACTTGCAGAAGGAGACATCGTGGAGACAGTCAACAAGAGTGGCAAGAAGGTTTATGCTTGGTCGGCCGATGAGCATGTTATCGAGAAGGGCAAGCAAGCTTCTCTGAGTTTGGAGTCCGAAAAGAAAGCCACAGCGACCGACAAGAATTGGTTTGCTGAGGCGAGCAAGGACTGGAAGATCGGCCTGTTTCAGAAGGGGAGCAGCAATGCCGGTTCCAGTTCCTCATCCACGAAGGTGCTTGCAATCCAGGATCGAGTTCCTACCGATGCACCCTTGAATGAGGCCCAGTGGAAGCAAGCCCAGACCCAGCTTTCCCAGGCCATGGCCAGTTTTGATCGTTTGCTCGCCGGTGCAAAGAAGCTTATCGGCAGCATGGGTGTCGAGATGAAAGATGACGAGCTTTACAAGTCGACGATGCTTGCATGAAGACTCCTTAACCCTCCACCCTAAACCCTAAACACTAAACCGGTATATGAACCCCACACATGTTTATATACTTGCTTACAACGAACCCCAAAGCCTGTGTGCATGTTGATCTGTGTCTCAGGAAAGCTGTCGTTCAGTCGTCATCGAGTCAGAAGTGTGCTTTGGAGCACGTGTGGACCTGGCAGGCCACACCAACCCCAATGCTTTCCCTATAGAAGCCCATTCATACACCACACCCTATAAAGAGCCCAGCCCGAACCATAAACCCTAAACCCTATATAAACCCTTAAGCCTGCACACCCGCGATTTTTTGGTGTCAGGAGATGCCGGACAGCAGCGAGCTTACACTCGGCCGATACCAGACCTTAATCGAGACAGCAGCCCAGCAAGGCGAGTCCATGGAGGAGCAGGTTGCATCTGTAAAGGCACAGCTGCAAGTCCGACAGTCCCGGAAGCAGCCTTCGAAGTGAAGCCTCGTGTGTCTGCATAGCCTGAAGCAGCCTCGAAGTGCATGGCATCCAAGTGGATATAGTGCTTAGGGTTTAAGGCCTAGGGTTTAGGGGGTTTATAGAGTTAGGGACAGTAGATAGATATAGATACATGAATATATGTAAACCTACACATATACATCGATTGCCGTTTATGTTGTGTTTTAAGAACGAAAAAGGAGGAGAGCTGCTATGTCCCGACACGGCTGCGAGTTTTGATGTGGTTAGTTACTCTTCGGCCATGGTGCAGGAGAAACTGTGAGCACCGAGCGGGTGAACAAACATTATGTTGCCTTGTCGTTCATCGTTGTCATTCATTCCTGTAGTCTTTCTTACAAGGTTTACAGGCTTGAACAGAAAAGGTGTGGAGCTTATAGTGCATTGGTGCCTGAACAGAGCTGTGTGTGTGTGTGTGTGATCTAAAGGTTTGCTTGAAGCCCCTCATCCTTTACAGCCTACACAGCCTTATCTGTGCTTCGAAGCACTGTACATGACAACTCTTCCCATGCAAGCCCTCGAAATATGAACTCCCGATACCCATGAACCACACACAAACCATGCCCTTTTCGTGTGCCACACAATGGAAGAGCCTGGGCCCGCACGAAAGAAGAGACGAGGTGGAATCCAACAGCGAGTTGGAAATGCAGACACAGAAGCAGAGGCAACCTCAGCCTTAGAGACATTGGTCCTGGATGGTCTTGCAGCAGGTACTCTATCTGCAGCCTGCAGCTGTCGCCGATTTCGCTAAAGTCCGGACTGGCTGTGTTTTTCCGGCCTTGGAGAAGCTCGCCAAGGTCAAACATAGCAAGAACTTTGAAGGAGCCTTATTTGGTCGGCTAAAGAGAGAGTCTCAGTTGCCTGCACCTACAGAAGTCAACATTCCGTTGCAAGGAGTTCCCGACGACAAGGTCAGCAGCAGAGTCATGCTACCTCACGAAATATTGCATGCCATGTATCACAGCGAAGCAGGTTGGGAGCTGTGCATTTTGCCAGACCCCAACCAGCTCCGGAAGTTCTGGGCCGACTTCCAGCACCACCCCTGCATGCAAAACCACCCCTTGCTCGCCAAGAGCGATTTTTCTGAGAAAGCAATACCCCTCTCCCTCCACGGGGACGAAGTCCCCGTGGTGGGGGTGGGGAAGATCTGGTGTCATAGTGTCCTCCAATTCTCCTGGAACTCGCTCATGGCTACAGCAGCTGGCCGGTCTGCTGGTGACACACAGCTGTTTATTTGGGGGGTGTTCGAAAAATTCACAGTGGATGGTACACTTCCGTTCTTTCTCAATCTCCTCAAGTGGTCCTTCCAGATATGCTTTGAGGGGAAATGGCCCAAGAAAGACTGGAGGGGGCTGGCGACACTCGACTAAATATTGGATATATGTTCTTTTTCTCACAAAGGTAAAACTCTGTATATTGTAACGGATGCATTCTCGGTAAAGGGCTTAGACACAAGTAAACCTCGATAATGTAAAACGAAAAGTATTCTAGCAGAAGTAAACTAAAGGATTTACTGTTGTGCCAGGTACCCTCCAAACAGTCCAGAGGGTCGCCGGGCAGGCAAACTGCTGTGTGGTGGGTACTATGCTGTTTTAGTCCAGCTCAATGGAGACTTGGATTATTACTGCAAGTGGCTGGGGCTGCCAAGGTGGTCGAACCACACAAAACCCTGTGCACTCTGCAAAGCTGCTTATCGTGGTGCAAATTCGTGGTTGGACAATCGCTCGTCGTCGGCATGGCAAACAACCATGTTGACTGTCCACACTTGGAAGGAGCACTGGGCGACAGAGTGTGCATTGTTTGGGCCGCCATTGGGTCTCAATGGTTTGTGCTGCTCCATGGACTTCATGCACTGTCATTTCCTTGGCTGGTTGCAGTACTTTTATGGCAGCACACTGTCCATTCTTGTCAACGACTGCCTGCCCGATAGCCCCATCCAGAACTTGCTTTGGGTCGGCCGTTACATCAAAAAAACTCAGAGAGACCGTGACAAGAAGTTTAAACAAAGGCTGCAGAAGCTGACAATGTTCCAACCCAAGAAAGGCTTTCCCAAACTCCGGGGCCGTGCTGCAGACATTCAGAGTTTAGCCTCTGCTATGCTGGCTCTGTTTTCGGAGAAGATGGATGCCGACAACAGGCAGCATCGGGAGATTCGCCTTTTCCTCAGCCTGAACAACGAGCTCGACGATACCCTGGACCAATTTTCGCCTTCGTCTGGTTTTATGGCAGTCCCTGCATGGCAAGCAGAGAAGCTTTTCCGAACTGGCCTGCAAATGGCCCAGATTCATGCACGATTGATGGATTACTACAAGGGAGAGGGCCGAAAGCTTTTTAACATGACCAGCAAGACACACTTCGTTCTCCACTGCTTGCATCTGTCGAAGTACATACACCCGAAAATGACATGGTGTTACAAAGGGGAGACAACGATGCACAGGCTTCAAATTTTATGGAAAAGCTGCCTTGCAGGCAGCAAGCATTGGCAAGTGGGCCGGAAGGCTGTGATCAAGGAGAGGTACAGGCTTTGGCATCGGCGAAAGCTCCGACCCGTTGCTTGAAACACAAGCTGCTGCTCTCTGGTCACAAGGACATGCGAAGGCTTTGGCGTCACAGTGCAAGCTCCGATCCGTTGCTTGAAAAACAACATCTGCTGCTTTTGTGGTAGTTTTGTTTCCTGTTTACTTTCGAAGTTTACTTATACATGGCAGCTGACGAGGCGACCTTACACACAGAATCCTTTCTCAAGTAAGTGAATCCTCTCGGGAGTAACACAAAATCCTTTCTCAAGTAAGTATAATCCTCTCGGAAGTAAAAGGGAGCATCATCTCATAAGTAAAGGAAATGGCGCACAAGAGCAGCATGGATATTATAGTGCGACCTATGATGCCCATGATTTCCATGGTTTTTCGCTGTTCAAAAGTTGTTTTTTGAAGTTGTTTCGATGGTGTTTTGATGCTGTTTCGATGGTGCTTTGATGCTGTTTCGATGCTGTTTCGATGCTGTTTCGATGCTGTTTTGATGCTGTTTTGGCATTCTTGCAAAACTTACATTTACACGAAAATTTACACTTTCTCAGTGTAAATTACTCGATTCGTGTAATTTACTCATTTTCGTATTTTTAGGTCATTTGCAGTGTTGGGGTACTCTCTGGAGCGGGATCCAGCTCGGGGTCATCGCGAAGCCACCCCGGTGGATGACTACCACCATAAACGTGGTGCGATCCGTCCTCAAGCTGGATTCGGTCCCCTCTCTTCAGGAGCGAGACCTTCGAGTGATCGTACCCGTTGGCTTTGTGGTACCGAATCACTCGGAGCATGGGCACCTCCCCATACCCACCGTCCTTTCCTCGGCGGAACAACCGTCCCCGCCAGTCTTGACGAAAAGGGTCAAGAGGTGCGGAGGGGCTGATCCCCAGGTTGGGCGGAAGAGAGGCGCCATGGCAGGCCGCCTGATGCAAGTGGTATTGCACCAGCGACTCAAAGGCCAGCCCGCATCCAGGAGCTGAGCATCCATAGTGGCCGTCAGCATTGGGGCGAGGCACCTCTGGGGCCGGGGCGGACCGGACGGTCCCGCCTCTTGAAGGCCTGGCGGAACTGCTCGATCCCGCACCCCGGGGGCATCCTGACCATCGTCAGACACCTCTTCCCCGTCGGCGCCTTCCCCGGCCGCCCGATTCTCTCCCCCACGGCGTAGAGTTTTGAGGGATTCCTCACGCTTGGTGATCTTTTCTAACTTCACGTATTCTCGACTGGAGTTTCTGCGCTCTCAGAAGAGCTTCGGACCGCGCGAGGTACTCCTTCGCGGTGCTGACCACCGATTGGCCAAGTTCGAGGACTCCTTCCTCTATGCTCCCGGCCTGGGCCCCACCAGCGGGCTCTTCGTCCTCCTTCACCTTGACCGCGGCTTGGGGCGCCCGCGTGTCGGGAAGATCCGAGCTGGAACTATCTTCCTCGACACCTTCAGCTTCTTGGGCTGCCTCTTCCTCGAGCGAGTCTTCGGCCTCGAGGGCATTGGGGCCAGGGACGTTGCGCCTAGGATACTCCTTGGGCTTCGCTGGAAAGATCGAAGTCTTAGGAGCCCCTGAAGCACGCCCTTTGGCCTTAGGCGCGGCCTTAGGAGGGGTAACAGGTCGGGCGGCCCCCGCGGCCATGACACGGCCCGCAGGGGCCAGCACAACCGTCGAGGAGCTCGCCGCGCCACTGCTGGCCGCAGCAGCTTGGGACGCTTGGACCGTGCCCAGTTTCGGTCCTCGCCCCAACGGCGGGTGGGGGCCCGCACTGGTGTCGCCTAAACTCCTTAGGTCGACATGCTGGATCAACCGATCCACTTCTAACTCAGCTATTAAGATGGAGTAAACAGCTGAGCCTTTGGGGAGTGCCCAGATGCGGGAGATGCCGGTGGCTCTAATCTGGCCAGTGAGAGCCACCCCATCTGCTCCCGCATAGATAGGCACTCCGGCGTCCCGCAGGACCGCCAACCGGACCTCGACTATGCAAGTCGATCCGCGGCGGAACCCGCGTCTCCCGTCCTCCCACTGCGTGGGGCAGTGCCCTAGGACGTAGTGCACCCCGAGGCGGCCTCCCGGCCCGCCGCCGGGGACCAAGCCATTCTCGATCAGGCTCGGCACGACATGCAAGTCCGTGCCGTGCCACATGGCCGGGCCATGCCGATATATAAGATCGTTGATGGCGGTCTCACTTAGGCCCTCCATCATGAATCCCATAGGATGGCCGCAATCGGCCGAGTGGCCTTGGAAGGCACGCAAGTAGCCAGCGTACGAGGTATCCAACCTCGGTTTCCGCTGGTTGGCGTCGTGCGCGACCGCCTGGTTGTACTGGTTGATGGTGATGCCGAGTTGTTCGATCAACTCATCAACCGGGTAGAGGCCGCCCGGAGCGAACCGGCCTCTACAACCAGCTTCGCCGTGCCGCATGCATCGGACTAGCATACGCTGCACGTCGTCGATCGTGGGCGGGCCCTTTCGGCCCTTAGGGCCTGGACTCTTGCTCTTGCCCCTGCCCTTCGACCCTCCTCCACCCATCGCGGCACTGAGGCCCGCGGCTTTGCTGGACCTCCGATGGGCGAGGAAAACCTGACGCGCCCTTGAGCGGCCAGGACACGGCCCGCTGCAAGGGGCCGGTGTGCAGTAGTGGTAGGCAGCCGCTCCCGCGCGGCCAGGGCACGGCCCGCAGCGGGGCCTTGTGGTTGACCACGAAGGTCCGGGCGACCGATCGGTCGCTCCCGCGCGGTCTGGTCGCGACCCGCAGCGGGGCGCAGTGCACAGGCACGAACGCGGGGAGGGACTACCTACCCTAGGTTCTACAACACACCTGAACCGCTGCGGCGGGGTTTGGGGAGTTTCCTTAAGGTCTGGGCTCTAAGGCTTCTAAGGCTTCTGCTTCGACCTTGGACCGAACCTCTAGGCCTGCTTGCAAAACACTGGCTGCGAGACAGAGGAACGAAGCTGCACGCGACGAACGACGAAAAATCCTTCTGCCCGCAGACCGGCGACCTGGGAAACGGCCCGCCCCAAAAACACCCGCCCTGAACACAGAAACACCCGAACAGCCCCAACATCCTGAGCATCAGAACGCGCGTGGGGTGATTCTGGTCTGAGCGCGCCGCGTCATGGTTCGCGCGCTTGGTGTTGTGCGCACCGCGAACGCCTAAGGCTTCAAGAGCAGACGACGCGCTCTGCGGAGCTGCGACTGCCCCTTTGGCGCACGCTTCGCGCACCGCCCCCTCGGCTTGGGCATCAGTGAAAAACTGCCCATCAATGACCCTACCCGTCCTAACAGTAAGATCATCCACGTAGGCTATCCACTCCTTAGTATACTTAAGGCGCCTACCTCTGCCGGGGGCATAGGCCCTATCAACCACAAAGTTGAAATCATCTGGGCCGTTAATCGGGCCAAAGGTGAGGCCGACAGGGAGATATTTCCCTGATCTTGCCACAATGGCCAACACCTCGCGAGCACGCTTGGTGTTCCTAATTTGATTAAACCCACTAACCGCATCCACGAAGGTATACCAAACCGAACCTACTGCGGCGGCGAGCACATCGCTACCCCGCCGACAATAGTACGTGGAGCGCTTAATTCGGGCATTCACACGGCGGTAGTCAACCACCAAGCGTCGCTTCCTATGCCGCTTGTAGCTGGGCATTTCCTTGGTCGGAAACGGCGCAGATCCCCAAGCCGAGCTGCCGCGGATCAACTGACCCCGCTTGCATTCTTCTTCAAGCTTGTCGTCGACCCATTGCGCGGACTCGCCCCTCAGACTGTGAGGCTGGGACGAGACCGGCGGCCCGGTGGGGATGCAGTCATGGGCGAACTTCCTGACCGTGGTCCTGGTGGTGTCCTCCACCCAGAACCCAGCGGCCTTTCGCCGTATGACCTCCCTGACGGCTGCGATGTCAGCATCGGTCAGCCCTGGTCTGGTTGGTCCAGGCTCGATCTTCAAACCCGACCATACGAGGTCTCTATAGGCCTCGGTGCGCCTAGGATCCTCCGCGACCTTCTCGCCCGCAAGAGCATAGACCTCAAGGTCAGCCCGGACGGAATCCCAGTCCTTGGCGTCCGCCTTGGTTCGCCAAAACGCTTCCTTCTCAGCGGCGTACTTATCCACCTCCTTATCCAGCTCCGCACGCTCTGCTGGCGTGAGGTCCTCGCCCGAGCGCACGTCCGGGAGGGGAATGACTGGAGAGGGCTGTGGTGCAGCCGCGGCGCTATCCGCACCCGCAGTGGCTGGAAAGCTTTCAACTGCAGCGGTGCACAGCTCTTCTGCGCCCCTCAGACCAAGGTCCTGGAGTGATGCGCAGAAAGCCGCCCCTATGAGGTTGTAGTCGGCTTGCGCGCGCCCAACGTGCTTGTGCTGCACTGCGCCTAACGCATCCGGCCTACTACACCTCAAACCTACCGATTCTAAGCTGAAATCGGCGAGCCACAGGGCCCCGCTCTCAACGAGGTTGTCGCGGCCACTGGCCCGCGCGAACTGGCATATGTCAGCCCGCACGAAAGCCCAAGGCCAGCGTGGCTCTGCGAGCGTCCCAAACAAGGCGCCCCACTCCTCTAGCCGCCAGGGTTCCCACTCGCCTTTTTGTGCCTGCAAATGCAGCGCGACGTGGGCGCCCGCGCGCGTGCGTTCCTGCGCACACCGGACGACTAGCTGAAGGAAAGCTCGGGGCACATTCTTGCCCTCAAGCCCAATCACGAGCACCTTCGGCTCTGCGCGCAAAACAGCGCCGCTAATTGCCTCTAAGTGCCCTTCTGCGGCCAGGTTCCAGGTGATCCCGTAGGCCTGCTTGCCTTGCACAAAAGCTGGAACAACCCTATACCCGTGCCTCCTAGCCGCGTCGGAAACGACCGCGTAACCCCAAGCAACCTCTAAGACATCGGCAACCCCTCCAAGGAAATACTGCCGGAACCAACTCTCGACAGCACCCGACTCTGGGGAAGCCCTGCAAGAGTGTGATCACTCTCTCCAGCCAGGCGAGGTTGTTGCGGAAGTGCGTTCCGGCCTCGTCAGCACTGCGGCTTGTGGTTGTGGCGCGATTGAGACGGTGTTCGAGTCAGAGCCGTCTCCGCAGGCATGTGCGGATTGTGGGGTCGCCGTTGCTTCGGTTGACCATGACCCGTGCTTTGCTTGCGGGTCCGCGTCCAGGGCCGCGGCAAGAAGCTTCCAAGGTTGTTCCTCGTGTGCGCGGTCCTTTGGGCGGCTGCGTACCGGCGCCAGGATCGGTGTGCTATCGGTCCTTGCTGCGGTGACTGTTCTCGCTTCGGTGTGGGGCGGGAGCGGCCCGGTTGGGCGCCCTGTTGAGGAGCCTGGAGTGCTTACTTGCTTGGACCACCTTCCAAGCGTCGACAGCTGGTGGGAGGCGCCAGGTGGTTACGCGTCTGTGTGGGGTAGGCGCCCTGCGCAGAAGGACCTTGGGACCGTGGCGGTCGAGAAGGCGCCTTACGAAACGTGCTTGCTTCAGCGCGCAGGTGAGGCGTGGCGTCTTTGGGACACGAGGGATTTGCGTGTGGCGGAAAGCGTTGCGTGCAGCGATGAGGTTCCCGTCACCGAACGCCTCGCGGTCTTTAGGACGCGCAAGGGGCCACGCTGGGCTGGCTGGCGTGAGGGATCGGCCACGGCTGAAAGAGGCGCAAGTGATGCTGTGCGCCCAGCAGACGCGGTCGACACGGCGCGCTGCCCGAGCTATCATATCGTGGAGAGCTGGGACATCGATAAGATGATCGAGGAGCCTCCAACGGACTATTATTATGAGCAGCTCGCGGCAGATATGCGCGCCCGGCACCCTAAGGCGTGCCCGCACCTCCTCGACCACCTCGTTTCCTTAGAGGGTTTCCTAGATAAGTCAATCTTGTTTGGGTTCTCGTTTGGGATCAGTAAGGCCGAAGTTTGTGTCTCCAAAGGTAAGCTCCTAGGACACAACATTGGGCGGGACGGGAGTTCGCCTGACGAAGAGCGTTGTCAGGCGGTGATTGACTTTCCCCCGCTCTGGGAGAAGCTTCACATTCAGCAATTTTTGGGTTGCGCAAATTGGTTGCGCGGCTACCTGCCTGTTGAGTATGGGCACGCAGCCAAGATTTTAGGGCAGTGGCAGAAGCCAGGCGCCGTCTTTCCTGAAGGCGGGCTGGGCTCAGCCGCCACCGAGGGTTGCAAAGCCTTTAAAGCGATTAAGCGCATGATGCAGAACCGCATCAATTTGGCTACCTTCGATGAGGCCTCTGCTGCGGATGGGTCGTGTCCCCTTGAGCAGATCGCGGATGCGTCGGGCATCGCGGTAGGGGGCAGCGTCGTGCAGATGACGCGTGACTTGAGTCAGCTCTGTCAAAGTGCTTATGACACACTCAAAGAGCTTGACCCCCGTGCAGCAAAACTGGCCGCCCTTGATACAGGAGGCGTTTGCCCAGCTCGAGGTAAAGCGGGCGACACGCCGCATGTTTGGCTCTATTCGGACTCTGTGTTGGACAGATCATGCCAACCTTACCCGAGCGCAAACGTCGGACATCGGAATGGATCCGAAACTCGTCCGGTGGGTTGCGGAAATCCTTATGGATGGGTCCGAAATAAGGAGCCTTAGCGGTCGCTCAGCGACGCTGGGTGACAGTTTTAGCCGCAATCCCAAAGATCGGGATGCGCTCCTTGCGGCGAGGACGAAAGATCTCGAGGGCCTTTCGGGCCAACTCCGAGGTTTCGACCTGGACCAGTACCTCGGAGAGGGTACTGAGGGTGACGGACCCGTGCCCTGGGCGGTCGGCAACGACGCCGTCCCAGAGCCTGCGGGCCGTGTCCAGGCCGCGGCTGTGCCGATGTGCGTCGTCGCAGCCCTTCCGGTGCGCGTCATGGTTGTCTTTGACTACGCGCGTTGGAAAGAGCAGGACGCAGAGCTGACTGAAATCAGGCGCGTTTTTCAAGCGAGCCTCCCTGGAGTTTCTGTGGCTGTCAGGGGTTGTTGGGGTCCGTTTGAGGATACCGACGGGCTTGCCTCGCATTTTGATTGCGGGGCCGGCAGGCTCGCAGGGACCAAGAAGATCAAGCGGATCAGGGTCGACTTGCTTACTTCGTGTGCCAAGGTTCTTAGGGAAGCTTCGGGGTTTCGTCCGCAGTTCCTCGTAGGACTAGGGCAAGGCGGGCTTGTCACAGCCGTCCTTAGGTGGCCTTTGGTTGTTGAGCTCACGCTCCAAGCAAGGAACCTGCAGCGCAAGGAAGCCAGGGCTGTAGGAGAGGCTTGGGCAGGCATCAAGGCTATCTGGGCGGTGCGGCCACGCCTTTGGCGCACGCAGCAAGGCCACTTGGAAGTGGCCGAGGCTTGTCCGGAACTCAAGAAGGATTTTCCGGAGCCTCCCCTGCGAGGTTTTGGGATCGTAGGGAAGCAGGCATTGGGGGCGGAGGTTCTGCGGTCCTTGAGGCTGGACGCGGTTCGTTCCATTGATGATGCCAGCATTAGAGGGATGCTGGACGAACCGTCACGACCCCTCTGGGACCATGAGGGTCTGTGCATCTGCGGCAAGCGGACCTACCTGTTTTCTCGCTGCCCCGCCTGCATCGAGAAAGAGGCAGTCGATATCTCGGTAGAGATAGCCGAGCGGGAGGAGCCCGAACCTCCGCTTGAGGGCGACCTTGAGGCCCATGAGGTGGGCCTAGAGGTCAACTCCGTCCTTGCAACTTTGGATAGGACAGGAGGTTTGGTTAGGGTTAGGTCCTCAACCATCCAGCAATGGGCGGTAGGGTTTAGGACTACGCCCAAAGATGCTCCAGTTCCCACTGCATATGGCATGCTGAGTGGGAAGATATGGAAGAAGAGCCATTCCATGAAGCTCAGCCTCGGCTCCCAGCACAAGGATCTTTCCAAGTGGGGCGATGTGAAGCCTTACTGGACCACATGGGTGGTTAGAGAAGATGGTGCTGTGGTGGCGGGGCACAACTGCTCGCCCCTGAATGTGGTTCAGGGCGACATCGTCGTGCATTGGTCGTCAGTGGTGAACTGGCACGGCCACAGACATGTCGTGAATGAGCAGTGTGAAGTGCTCTGGAGGTCTAATGGTAAAGAGGTTGCCTTAGACCCCTCCTTCGGCAAGCTGATAGCCCTTGTGGGTAGGGTTACTCAGGTCATTGGCTGGCGGGCAACCGGAGAAGCAGCTTCGGATCCCCGCAGGTCTACCCTGCAGGCGTCAAGGGTCCTTGCTCAATTCTCTTCGTCCAACGAGGGCGTAGAAGGGCATTGGACCGCGGGCGCTATCAGTCGCGGGAAGAATGCCAATGAGTGCAAGCTGAAGGGTAGAGTTTTGGCGTTTATGGGTGAAGAGCACAAGGGCCCTGCAGTGGTTCTAGAGCTCGTTAGCCATAGCCCCATCCTGTGCATTTGGGACCATTCCTCAACCAAGGTCAAGGTCGAGTTTAAGGGCGGTGTTCCGTCTTTGAGCCTGATCGCGGAGGAGGACGAAAATCGTCGTGAGCAGCTTGCGGTCGAGGCAAGGGACGCGGCGAACATTTCGGAGTTCCGAGTCACGGGATCCCTTCGTACGGCGTGGTACGAGGGTCAGCGGCGCGATCCCTCATTGGCGGGCTCGATTCGCAAGCCAGAGCCGCCAATGGAGATATCCGGAGACGGGTTGCTTGAGCGCGAGGTGACCCTCAGGACGGGTCAAACCGTCGTTGTCCCAGTGGTTCCCAACGGGGCTGCGGGCGCGAATGGGGTGACCTGGCGCCGCGCTTGCTACAATTCAGTCCACTGTGGAGTCCTTGGGGCCCATAGGTCTGCTGAGGTTACCGTCAAGCTGCTAGAGAGGGCAGTCTGGTGGCCCGACTTAGAGAAAGATGTGCGGACCTGGGTCGCCAAATGTCTCGCTTGCATTAAAGGCCGCTCTCGACCGACGAAGGTTGAAGCTCGTGCGGTCAAATGTGGCGCCGAGACATGCTGGCAGGAAGTCAGCGTGGACTGTGAAGGTCCGAACCGAGAGGACAGGGAGGGGCATAGGTACTCGCTTACGTACTTCGATTGCCTCAGTCATGCTGTCCTCCTCGAGCCGATGAGGTCTCTGACTCATGCTGAAGTCAGGAGGGCGTTCGTGCGCTGTGTGCTTCGCAGCAGGACGATCCCGAGCCTCATCAGGTCGGATAGAGGGCCACTTAGATGGGCCCTGTGTTTAGTAGTAGGATAGATGAGTTATAGTACTTACTAACAAGTTGTTAACATGCTATTAAATCATTATAAGTAGTTATAAATCATTATAATCTGTCTAAATAGCTATGAAGGATAGTATAGTTAGTTAAACTTTAACTAAGTGTGTTAAAGTGTTTTCATGATTGGTGCAATTACTAACCATTTAGCTTGAAAGAGATTAAAGGGTTTAGTTCGATTAGATGAGTTAAGTTAGTGAATTACTAAGTCACTAGTAAAGGAGGTAAATGTTGTTATCTGCACTATGAAAGTGCGGGATGCACAATATGGAGCAGCAAACCCATGCATGCCTTACATGGGCTCTCGGATGCAGAAAGTGAATGGGCATCTTGTTTATTCATGTTGGAAGCTATTTTAATGTGGTTTTGTTCAGCCTTTGCAGGCTATTGCTGCCTTTAATTTATGAGCATTTGCATGATTTTACAAGTGTTTGCTGATGCAGTTGAGCTGGCATGCAGTTCATGGCTCTTTAGGGCAGAAGCCATGTCGACATGTTTGCATGCAAAGTCTACAAAACTCACACGCATGGCATGCATATATGTACATGTCATGCATGTGGCATGTGCACCTCACAGCAATTTTGTAAGCCAGCTAAAAGCTGGCATCCTCCAGCTTGGCCATGGATGCAAAATCCATTTCAGCCATGGAGGCCATCAGGGATGACCCTGTGTTGGCTGTCAACTTGAAAGCTGGCAAGATGTTGAACATGCTGGACAGCTTGGGCTACATCAGGATTCAAAACCTGAAGCCCAGCCAGCTGCTGGTGCATCCTGAGAATAGGTCGGGTGCCATGGTCAACCCTTTCAATGTTCACCAAAAAGGCTGGCAAGCACTCAAAGTTGGCTGGTCAGCCAAAAAGCTTGAGGAAAGCTATGCCCTTGAGGTCAGCCACAATTGGTCGGTGAAACACAAGCAGTTGCAGGCCATGCAGACACTGGTTGCTTTCCGGCTGGCTGGAAGCCAGGCGAGCTCCAGCAGGGCGGACCGCCCCCCAGGGGGCACCGCCATCAGTGGAAGGATGCTCTCGGGTATGATCATGTCTACAGGGTGCCAGAGAAGACGAAGACGGGCACCCACAACACCCTGGCGCTGGTCGTGGCCCTCTTCCACGCCGGCGAGATGGCGCAGCTCCACGAAGAGCTGGAACGCCTGGGGGCATAAATGGAATATCCAGCCCCAGGTCCAGCAAATGCTGGAAGCCCACCGGGCTGAGGGCCTTGAAGGCATCCGCCGGCTGGGGTACCTGAAGTGACTGCTGGCAGGTGCTGGTCTGAAAATTTCTTGTTTGGATTTTTTTTGGGGGGGATTTCTTTTGGAGCCTTTGCAGGTGTTTTTTTCTAGCCTTCACAGGCTCGTATTATATATTCCTCTTTTTTTCTTTTCAGCCTTTGCATTTTTTGTGCTTTCAGCCTTTGCAGGCTTTTTGTGTTTTCAGCCTTTGCAGTTTTTTTTTGGTTTTCAGCCTTTGCAGGCTTTAGTTCTTTAGCTGGATGTAGCCATTGCAATGTCATTTTGTTTCTTGTGTGCTAGGGTTTAGGGTTTAGGGTTTAGGGTTTAGGGTTTAGGGTTTAGGGTTTAGGGTCTAGGGTCTAGGGTTTAGGGTTTAGGGTTTAGGGTTAGGGTTTGCTGCAATAGGGCGTAGATGCTGTGAAGGTTAGGATGCAGCAGCGGCTCGAATGCCTCGTCAAATGCGCAAAGCAGCTCTGGCCCGATTTTGGAGGGCCATCAACAACTTTCTCCCACCCCACGCCGTTCGAGGCGGCAAAACCACCCAAACCTATTCCTTTTAGGGTTTAGGCCTAAACTCATGACAATCGCTTACTTCAAAAAAAACCTTTCTTCAAGGCTCAGGTTTGTAGCCAGGTCCGAAGGCCAGTGGCCAGACAGGCCGGGACCTTCCAGCAGAAGGGCCAAAAGGGCAGGAGGGGGGGGGGGGGGGGGAGCGCCAGAGGCCAGGGGGGGCCAGAGGGCCAGGGGGGGCTAGGGGGGGGGGGGGGGGGGGGGGGGGGGGGGGGGGGGGGGGCCAGCGGGGGGGCCAGGGGGGGCGAGGGGGGGCCAGGGGGGGCCAAGGGGGCCAGGGGGGGCCAAGGGGGCCAGCGGGTTGGCCAGGGGGAGTGGGCAAAAAAAAGGGGAAAAAAAAAAAAACACTTTTTGAGCACCCGTCCTGCCTGGCCTGGCCTGAGGCCCCCTGGTCCCTGGACACGCTGCAGTGAGGGGTCCGGGTCCTCCTGGCCTGGGGGCCTTGGGGTACAGCGCCATCCAGGGTGAAGGGCTTGGGGTTTAGGGTATTTACCTTATTAAGGGGACCAGTACTGGTCCCCGGGAGAACCTGTTCCGGTACCGGGCCCATCGTGGGTGCTACCGACCTCCTGGCTGCAGGAGGCGGGCAAGCGACCTGGGTCGACTTTCGCCAGAGAAGTCGAAGGGCTAAAGCGCCGCCCCCCCTCTGTAGGGGGGCGGCCTAGGCCCTGAGTTTAGGGTTCAGGGTTAGGGGTTAGGGTTTAGGGTTTAGGGTCTAGGGCTTAGGGTTTAGGGTTTTGGGTTAGGGCTGAGGGTTTAGGGTTTAGGGCTTAGGGTTGGGGGTTTAGGGTTCAGGATTTAGGGTTTAGGGTTTAGGGTTCAGGGTTCAGGGTTTAGGGTTTAGGGTTTAGGGTTTTTAGGGTTTGACCTGATTCGCTTGTGTTTGGGTGCAAAATGTTATTCTAAACTAATTTCTTTGTAGAGAAATCATGGAAATTTCTTGCTGGGCTTTGTATTTGTACTGAAAAAGTTCAGCCAAATTTGTGGTTTTGTTAAATTTTTAGGTCGAGTTTGGGTTTTTCTTGTTTTTTTTTGATTTCATGAATCTGAAATCAAAAATTTTGACAACAACATTTGATTTCATGAATATGAAATCAAATTTTTCAATGATTTTTTTGATTTCAGATTTATGAAATCAAATCTTGTAACGAACAATTTGAATTCATGAGCGTGAAATCAAATGGATCAACCCGAGATTTGATTTCATGGATCTGAAATCAAATTTTTTAACCCAAAATTTGATTTCATAATTCTGAAATCAAATTTTTGCACCCACATTATGATTTCAGAATTCTGACATCAAAAAATGGTTACAAAAAACCGGAAATCAGAAATCATTCAACAACATTTGAAAGCATTTTTAAGCGCACCAATCAAAATCTGATTTTTTTAAAAAAAAATTCAGCCAGAGATTTCCTGACGATAAATGCATAACATCAACTTATTCCAGCTGCTCAGCATATTTTTTCTTGACACGATGTCTATATTTCTTCTTTATTTTGTACCAGAAAACAGAATTTTTTTTTGGGTGGGCCCACACATGGATGTGTCAGAAGAAATGCTGGCTAGCTGGGACAGGATGGCAGCCAGATTTGGCAATTGCACATCTGCTGAGTGGAAGAAATGGCAGCAAGCCACTGGCATCACATATTCGCCTGAAGCTTTGCTGGCATGTGATGAGCTGAGATCCATGCTGGTTCCAGCTAGGCAGTGGATGCATGATGACATGCATGCTCTGCTTTCCAATGGCTTGTTGTCATATGCAACTTTCTTCCTGATGCAGGAGCTGGATTGCTGGTCCACCTTTGCTGGTTATGCCACATTTTGGAACCTGCCCAAGCAATTTGCTTCTGCGCCCATCAGCAGCTTGTTTGAAAGCAAAAGGCTTGCCAAGCACAAGAAGTCTGAGAAGTTAAACTGCACAGCATCAGAACTTTTGTCTGTGTTGCCTGTGCTGGTGCACTTTCTGAAAAAGGTGCACACTGCTGCCTTGCAAGCCCCTTCCACACAAGCTTTCCTGGCCATGTGTGCTTTGCTGGAGGTCCTGCGTGCTGGCTACAGTGGCAAAGTGACAGGTCACATGGTCTTTGTGTTGGTGGAGGATGCCTTGGAGAAATGGAAAACTGCTGGCTGGCCATTTAGGAAGAAAAACCATTGGCTTCTCCATTTTCACCAAAGCTTCGAAGACCATGGACACCTCATAGGGTGTTTTACCATGGAGAGAAAGCACAAGATGATAAACAGAAAGACCTCCCTGCTGCAGAACACCACTTCCTTTTGAATCCTCTGCCATGGAAGAAATTGTAAATGGTGAGCTGCAGGCTTTGGCTGAAACAGACAATTTGGATGCTGGGATCAAGTTGCTACAGCCAAAAAATGCTGGAGCCAAAGACACGCAGCTTTCCAGCATGGTCTGGCCTGCACCATGGGCTTCTGTGCTGGCGGCTTCCTCTGCAAGGTGCCAGGATGGCACAGTCGCTGCTGGTGATGTGGCTTTGTTTTGCCATGCAGGTCACAAATGGGCATGTGGCAAAGTCAAAAAACATTTGCAATGTGGTGTACAATGCAGGACAGTGCTGGAGCTTTTTGCTTTGCTGGAAGACCATGGCTCTTATGCTGTTTGGACACATGGGCCTGCAGAGGTTGCTGTGGATTTGGAAAATGTTTTCACCAGTGTCACCTATGCCCAAGACGGTGCAAAGTTTACTACCCTCATCCCTTGGAGATGGAGGTGAATAAACGCACAAGCATGCATTGCAAGTGTGTGGGTTTTGCAAACAAGAATCGGCGCTGTTCAATTCCAGTGGGTTGCTGGCTGAAACAAGTAGGAACATGACATGTTTTGCCTTGGTGTTGACCAGGTTTGTAGGCGCACATGAGCTTTCAAGCAGTTGATGTAAACTGCTTTAAAAGCCTTTGGAGGCTTGTTTTTTTTCTGTGAAGCTGGCCGCATTTTTTGTTTCGCCTGCTCTGTTTCAAAACATCGATTGGCCAATTGGCCATGTTGCATGCCTGTCTCACCACTTTTCTAGAGTTGCTGCTCCACTTTTGACTCTACATTTGCTGCTTGCATTATAACGGTTTCAGGCGCTTACTAATTGAGTCAAACCCTTAGCTAAATCACTAGTTAAGTGATTAGTTAGTGACATACTAACTGTTTACTAAACTGTTCAGTTAAACCAGCTAAACATGCTAGTAACCCTTTAGTAACTCTGTTAACCATGTTAAGTCATTACTAAACACAGGGCCCATCTAAGTGGGCTGCAAGCAAAACAAACCCTTTACCCTCTCCTGTGGGCCAGAGACCTGGCACAGCCTCAACCCCACACTCAACCGGAAGCGCAACCTCGGACAGGGATCCCTCTGCGGAGACTCCTGACTCCCGCACGACTGGCACCAGCACCCCATCACCTGGCGAGAGCTCGAGCGGCTCTTCCCCGTCATAGCGGAGAAGCTCACGACTTCCGCCCCCAGGCTCGATGCATGACGCGTCGTCCAGGCTTGACAACCGCGCTTCAAAGGCATAGGCCCTGTCCTTCCGAGTCCTACTGTGATCCTCACATCTGGGCATCCTGATTCCCAGCGTGTCGAGGACATGAAAGTCGGGACCCGGCCTGAATCCCAAGCCCATCCTTCCGGCGCAGTCCAGCGCTCTGCCGCCAAGGATAAGTCCGTGCCAATCGGACGTGCCTCTGGCTGCGATTTTACACCGCGCAAAAATCTCGGTGTTGGGGCGACAATCGTCCGCCGTCTTGCCTTCCAGCAGCGTGACGCGCAAGACTGCTGCCCCTTTCAAAGGAACTGGGGCCCCCGATGCGATTCCATGCACATATTCGGGGTGGACCCACTTCTCAAGTCTCACGACCGGAAAGCCACGATCCTCAGTGCCGATCCCAAGCTCTGCAGCCCGGTTCATCATGCCTACCACGAGTTCCTCAGTCACGTGGTTTGCGCCGGCGCAACCGTCAAGCATGCACTCGACTTTGCGGTCGAGGACCTGGACCACCGTTCTGTACTGGTAGCCTCCTGGCTCGTTGTCCGCCAGGTTCCACCAGTCCTTCGGTAGATCGTCCAAGGTGGCGAACTTGTCCCGCCCGCCCTTGCTTAACGGAAGCGCGTGCTGCTGCACCGCGGCGTGTCCTGCGGCTCCTAGGACGCCTGCCTGGACGCCTGAGCTGCCTATCTGGACACTGAACGCGGCGAAGGGGTTAGACATGGAAGCACCGGAGGGCGGGGCCCAGTTGGCAGGCAAGGCCGGCGTCCCTCCTGAGGTCGTCAGGTTGTGGACCATGTCGCAGCTGGCTCCTTTCTTGCACGACCCATTCTTGGAGAAAAAGGGGCAAACAGTGCCTGGTGGCTTTGCCGCGCCTTTGGCCGCAGCCTTAGGCTTTGCGTTGGCTTTTGCTTTGCCACCTCCCTTCCCTTTGCCTTTACCTTTCGCAGTGGCAAAGG